CAAATGCATAGACTAGTTTCTCAGCATCACCCCTGGACAGGAGATTTCTAATTTTTGCAATATTCCTCAGATGAAAGAAGGAAATTCTAGAAACCTCTTTGATCTGGGATTAAAATGACAGGTCCTGATCAAAAATAACACCAAGATTTTTTACTTTATTATCTGAAATCAGTTTAATCCCATCCAAATGAAGTGACTGGCTAATCAGCTTCTTTTTCAAATAAAAACGATCTGAAAAATAAAATCATAATGTTTTGTTTAATAAAGAAGATATTTCACCAATCTGTCTTAGGTTATTCAGGTTTATAATTGTCTTTTTCTCAATATTTAATTATATGGTAATGCCCAAGTAATGTTGTAATAGCTATCCTATGTTTCATAGCTGCATTAAACAATCAACATTATATTTTTTCTCATAATTTGCAGTTTTACAATATGAACTCAGGTTTCTTTTCTTAATTTACTTGACATTTAGGCACAAAGTTTGGTCTACAGAGGATGGTAATGCCTCAGAAGGCCTAATATATATTCTGTGAAACAACAAAGAACAGGAAAGCTTAATTTGCCAAAGAAAACAACATTCATCATTTGGATTTAATGTATATTTAATTCACTTGTTCACAATTTGGCAGCGTTGCTCTTCATATCCCTCTACCACCATGAACACAGGACAGCTGAGCAGGTTCCCCTGATGGAAAGCCTGTTGCCTGATCTCCAGCAGCTTCAGTCCAGCTTCAGCTGCTGTCTGCCTGGATACCGATGACGTCACAGCCTCTGATTGGCTGCTGCCTGCTTCTGCTTCCAGCAGCAGCTGAACTTTCCTCTCAGTTGATCTCAGAGTTTAACAGTGAGAGGATGATGATGAAGCTGCTCCTCTTCCTCTGCTCCGTCCTCTGGGTCTCTGCTGATGGTGAGTTCTACTGGTTCTGGTTCTGGTTCAGTGTGACCTAGTGGACCTCAGTGGTTCCTCACCAGTTCCTCTCTTCCAGTTCTCCATGAGGACCTTCGTATCTTTGGCTGTTCAGACTCTGATGGAGAGGAGATGTACGGTCTGGATGGAGAAGAGAAGTGGGTCGCTGACTTTAAGAAGGAGAAAGGAGAAGATGTTCCACCTGCTTTCATTGGAAGTTTCAACTTACAGGAAGGAGCTTATGAACTAGCTGTGGATGATCAACGGGTCTGCAGAGAGAGCTTGAAGGTGGACATGAAGGCCTATAAGAACCCTCCTCTGCAGCGCGGTGAGAAATGAACACATTACAGTTTTTTACTGTAGTCAACAATAAAATCTACTGTGATGATAATAATAGGGAACATGTTTGTTAGAACTTGATTACTTTATCTGGAACAGTAAACACTGACAGCCTCAGTAATACATTTATACTATTAAAGTGGATTTTTATATTTTAATATTTATTTTTAAAAATGTTTTTCAATTAAATTACTGTATTTAATCAATTAACTTACATGAATATAAATGTTATATTATTCAGATCCTCCATCCAATCCAATGGTCTACCCCAGAGACAATGTGGAGCTGGGAGAGCAGAACATCCTGATCTGTCTTGTCTCTGGTTTCTATCCTGCTCCTGTCAACGTCTCCTGGACCAAGAACAACCAGAAGGTGACTGAAGGAACCAGCATCAACGTTCCCTATCCCAGTAAGGACAGCACCTTCACCCAGATCTCCAGACTGGACTTCATCCCTCAGCTGGGAGACGTCTACAGCTGCTCAGTGGAACATCCTGCTCTACAGAAACCAGCCACTACAATCTATGGTGAGGAACCTTCATCCATTTATAACTACAGGCAGAGAGAGAAAAAATTTATATATAAACTACTTTATATCCTCTCTGAAGCTGATTCCTCATCCAGCAGTAGGTAATTAACCGCGTACTGACACTTTGATAACATTACAGGAAAGGCTTCAGACTGCTGAGCTCTAGATCATTTCAATTATATTGAAATACATTTTTGGTTGGGTGGAAAAGCTAATAATAAATAAAGGCAACATACTAGCTGATATAAAAGCAGGAAGCAACGGCAATAAATTTTGATTCAATCCCCATTTTAGATCAAATTAATGTCTCAGACATGAAGTCAAACTGCAGAGCTGCAGGTCGGGTTGTAGTTTGTTTCAAGCAGAAGGAGTATCTAAATATAAATAGTACCTAAGCAATCTGAACAGTGAGTTTAATAAAACCTGTTCAGGTGATAGAGAGGAGGTTTGGTCATTTGGTAGGAAGATCATCAGTGCTTTATAGATGCAGCAGACTGACTGTGGGCCAGGAAGGTCAGTTCACCAGTAGAAAGTGATGGAGGCTCAGATGTTTCCATCCCATGAAGAATCACCACCATAAGCAGCTCCTAGATCTGTTACCATAATCACTGTCAGGTTAGAAGGTGGCCGATGGTTTATCATCAAACATTGAAAACAGGGCTTCAGTTATTAATAACTAGACAGACTTGATAAAGGTAGCAGATGGAACATCTTGAAGGTCAGCAGAGATCAGAATCTGTTATTAATTGATAATTAGTCAGCGATAACTCTGTAGCCTGACGTAGTCCGACTCAATTCTAGTCAGAATATGCTGCTGCTCCATAGAGCTGTGATTATGGGGCGTGTTTCGAACGAACCAGGAAAAAAAAATGCCTCTGCACTCAATTGGATAGACCTACAACCAATAAGAGCAACGGAGTGCGTGACGTATGTTAAGCCACGCATAGTTGTTGTCAACAAAAATCAAAGCGTGCAGTTGCACGCCTAGAATAAGAAGATGAGCCTTGATCGCGTTTCTCTGTTCCTCTTTTAAAATTAATTTGCTGTCGATATCTTCTAGAACAGACCTAATAGCAGAATCTACTCACCTCAACTCTCCAGCGGCAGCCATTGTTGTTGGTGATTTATAATACATTTTTGCCATCATTCATCTTTATATAAAAAATGACAGAACTGTTGGATCGTTTCCTTAAACCGTGTACAGATCAACAGTCAGAATGACCATTCCAGATTTTATCAATCAGAAGTGTCTTTATTAACCTTTAGTCCTAGGTATCCATCAGGTTCAGATATCTGGATGTTAGCCGCAGTGAGGCTGATTTTATGTTAAAACAGCCTGCCATAGTTGACAGCACTCCCCAGGTGATGGTAGTATAATAACTAATCAGATAAACTAAAGAATAACTGGATAACTTTATATTTCCATGTTATGTTTATAATATGATAAAGTCTTCTCTCATGTCTCTCCAGATGTGGAGCTCCATGGTCCTCAGCCCAGTGTTGGACCTGCTGTGTTCTGTGGAGTGGGTCTGACCATCGGACTCATCGGCGTCGCCGTGGGAACCTTCTTCCTGATCAAAGGGAACGAGTGCAGCTGATTATCTTCTGAAGCCTTCAGGATGCTTGTTTCTCTGTATTTCCCTGTAATTAAAGCTGCATAGAGAACAGTTCTATTGGGGGGGTGTTCTGTATCTGCTGTTATCATGCTTTATGGATAAACTTCCAATCACAATCTGGATTAGTCTAGTTCTGTCAATGAATGTTTATGTTTATATGATCAAACAACATGATGCATTATTATATTACTGTTGTTTTAATAAAAGATAATGTCAAATATGTTGCTCAGAGTTTTGATGAAGGGAATCAAGGTGGAAGAACTATTTTATCTCTAAACTTTGATATGTGTGTCTGTGATCAGACACACAGTGACCAGAGTTATGACGCATCCTGGGTCTGCACACAAAACAATATGGACTCAATTTAATCCAAAGGTGGAACCTGGGTTTTTGTTCATCAAATTTGAAAAAAACATCATTACTGGTGAACAAGCTAATTAATAAATGTTAGATTAATAGGATGGTGGAGGTGAGCTCAGCTGCTCCAGGGTTTAGGACCCATTTATGGAGGACTCAGTCCCCAACATGGCTGCTCCATCTGACCTCCAGTCATTGAACCTCTAGTGGATGTTTTCCTTTTCTCTCTGAGTCTATCTGCCTAGTTAAAAGTAAAATGGCAGTAATGCCTAAAAACTACATTTAAAACGCATGAGGGATGTATTTTTAAATATAGAGGGCTGAACTTAATTATCTGAAGTTGATATAAATGGGAAACCATGTACAATTAAAAATCTTTTTAGTGCAAAATAATATCCATGAAAAACTTTCTGTTAAAAACTAATAAAATATTTTGTAGGTTTGACAGATTAAAAGAACCAGTTTTACTGGTTTATTGGACCTTCAGTCCTGAATAATGACCACAGTCACCAGTTAGGATCTGGTTTACTGTTAAAGCAAAGAAAGTCACTCTGTGGCCATGAAGACATATTTCATTTCCCTTTATAACTTATTGCTTTAAAAACAAAGATCTTCAGTAGGTGCTTAACAATATTTTCAGTTACTGACTCTAACAACAGAGCAAAGATAACTTGCTGAGTTTGTCCTAAACTAAACTCACAGCCTAATGAAACTGGTTCATCACATTAAATCCTAACAAGTCTGACTTGTTTTTATTAATTAGTCTGTCAGTAGTTTTGAACCTCAATGCTTTAACTTTTGCATATTAATAACTGCATGAACTAACATCTCTACTCTCTGATTATTCTCCAAATTAGATATAAATTGTAACAGGTGTTGATAAAGTCTGCAGGGGGGTGAACAGAAGTATAGTTGAAATATAATTTAAACTAGGAAAAAAGGTTCACTGGGTCAATAATAAAACAGATCTTTGGAAAGTGTGGCTGAAATAATTATGGTAGTTTAAATATCATTTAAATTGCAAAACATCTAATTAAATAATGTGAAGGAATAGAACCTTCAACCTGTCTGCTCTTAGAATCAACCAGCAGGTCTGTTTGCTGCTTGATCATTTATTCAGAGCTTGGATAAAGCTGAATAAACATTATGTTGTTTTAGCCACTGTATTGTTTATAGCGAATGTTTTATTCTAACAGTTCAGTCGCTGATTAGCAGCCTTCTGCCCAGCAGTTCTACCTGGTAACAGATGACGCAGTGTGACGTTTCTTTCTTCCTCTGGTTTTTCCAGCAGCTCTCAGACAGATTGAGTCAAAGTGTTTCTGCTGAACCCAGAGGGAGTCATGGCTTCATCAATACTCTGCTTCTTCTTCCTCTTCTTCATCACTGCAGGTAGGATCAATACTTTATGATGCATCTAGACTTATTGAACATATTTATTAGTATTTATAAATACTTCACCCTGATAACAAGAGGAACATGATCTGACTACACTGACATCACTCCACTCCTGAGTCACATAAACTGACTTTAAACATGTTTCTGATCAATAAACTAATGATTTAATTAGAAATAAAACAGTTAATGTTCAATATGTAGAAATGTCTTTATGCAGAAATGAATTATTGATTAGCGATCAGAACTCTGATCAGTGCAGGAAACCATCAATCATCTCATTGAATTTAAACAGAATAAATCCTCTAAGGATCAATAACCTGATGATTGATCAGTTCTAATGTCTGGTTCTGGTTCTGGTTCTGACCCATCAGATGGATTTCTGGAGTACTCAGTGGACCGCTGTCTGTTTAACTCCACTGATCCAAACGACGTAGAGTTCATCAGAGCTTTTTACTTCAACAAAGTGGAGGATGTTGTGTTCAGCAGCAAAGTGGGAGAGTTTGTTGGATACACTGAGCCTGGTCTGAGCTATGCAAAGAACTGGAACAAGGATTCTGGATACATCGCTGGGCTGAGAGCCCAGAAGGAGGTATACTGCCTGAATCACATCGGCGTCGACTACCAGGCTGCTCTGACTAAATCCTGTAAGTGTTTGAGTTTAATCTTCCTCATTTTAAACATCACATCCAGTTTAACTTTAACCCTGCTGTTAAAATTAATACATTTTCTCTGACTTTGTAAAAATAGAAACCAGTTTCTGTTTGAGAGACAGCAAGCGCGATTTGTGGCACTGGCAGGTCGCTCTTGAACTTCCGGTGGCAGGTCGGACTGCCACGGCGTATTACTGGCAGCTGCCAGTAGTTGTGGCAGCTGCCCCTAGGCTGCCACAACTACTGGCAGCTGCCA